TATCGCTTGTGACACAAGCTCTTCTGTAACTCTGCTATGTTTCAGCTCGGCCATGGCGTGTCTACTTGTTTTTCGAGCTCCTCCCATCGTTCGCCTTCACACGGGATTGCCGGCAATGTACTCTGAGGTTTCAGCTTATTTTCACCTTCATAAAGCTGCCTTATAGATATGCGATATTGAGAGCCAGCCAGCTGCCTGTACTTCCCGAAACAGCCTTCCAAGCTCTCAGTCTGCATCCTTCCCAGCAGGACATAGTTCAGCCCGAGTTCAGTGAAGCAGTATTCGGCCATCTCTACAAATGCACCGGTTGTTTGACGGAGCGCTCCGTGCGTCTCCTTGGCTAGCGTGCCACTGGTAAGGTTCTCGCTCTCCCATACGTCAATCCAGGCGTCCAGCCAGTCAAAAAGATTGCAGAAAAAAAAAGCACATTGCAATCGTCCTCTGCAGAAGTCACTGGTTCTTGAAAGTCGTCTCTGAGTCGCGTTCCTTTGTTCGGCGTCCATGTTAAAATTTCCTTCAGATTTCGAGACCTCGGCGATTTTATATTCCTTTAATAATATGCGCCACAGATGTAGGAACAAGAGCGGGACATAGAAGGCTACAGGCTCCTGATCGTGGTTTTGAGAACGGGAGCTTGCGCTACAAAGATACGTTTCTAAAATTGAAAGCGAGAGCTAGCTCGTGCTTGTCGCCTTCGCTGCCACGTCAGTGTAAACTTTAACAAAATAAATTCAATAATTGATAAAAAAAGTGAAAAGATATGAGTGTTCTCACCCTTGTATGCGTCGATAGAACGAGGTTTTCTTTCGAGGAATCGCCCGCACCCATACTTTTCACAGTTCTTCATCCTCCGGGAACTAAACACAGCACAGACACTTTCTTCCACGACGTTTCATAGTTCCCATGGCTCCCAGGAACACAGCATTTATGAGGCGTGGCCAGCCCGAAAGCCGCCCGTAACTTCACAACCACCACGCGTTAAACGCCAAGCACACCAAACGCAAAAGACAAAAGAGACGGTTAGAACAATTCGCGTACTCCCGCCGCGAGGCTTGTGCAAACCGCCGTGCGCAAAGGAATCAAAAATTGTCACTGCGCAACTGCCCCGGGAGAACCCAGGCGCCCTGGGCCAACACCACCTAGAGGAGAAGGCCAGCACACGCCTCCAGTGACGTCACGGCAGCAGGCTGACGAGCGCCGCGCTATTGAGCTGAGCTGAAGGATTCACGCGTAGCTTTTACGTCGTAGAAACGCGGGTTTTCGCACTATTTATTTTTTATGAGCTAACATGAGAGCTGTGAACGCCGAGTGATTTAAAGAACCAATTTTAGAACGCAGGAAAATTAATTTAACCTACAATTATTGTAGTGAAATACAAGAAAATGATATCTTGAGACAGCTGTGTTATTTTTTTAAGCGATAAACTGAGTGGTGTAATTATTTCTGAACGACATGGGAGTTGTATAAAAAACGAATTCCTATGAAATGGCAATAATCGAGGTAGTAGGACAAGATAAAATGAACTAAAGTAACAATTGAATAAATGATGCAGAGGCATTCATGTCATTTAATTTTATTCACCTCAAAGGCATCCAAAGACGCATTACATCAGGGGGGGGGGGAGGGTTCAAAAATAAAAGACAAAAAAGTAATTAACATAAAAATAGACACCAACAAAAAAATGTCACAGACACACACACAAAAAACGCTTATTGTTATGATACAGTTTTACAAATCAAGGTTCAGTTACACAAACTGATGCACTTCTTTTTAAATGAAATGGGATATCTCTCAGTTACTATATGGTCAAACAGTTTGTTCCAGTCAGTGTTGCACAGTACTAAAGAAGAAAAGAGGAAAGTGTAAGTATGGCACTGAAATGGTTCAATCTTGCAGGAATTATCTAATATGGATGATATAAAATTGGCAGCCCAGCACTAAATAGATTGAAAATTGGAATCTGAGTAATATAAATCTTGAAAAAAACACAATCGGGCTATTTTTCGTCTTCTTTCTAGATTAGGAAGATTTATGCTAGCTTTTAAAGCGGTGACACTAGTTTCGGGTGAATAATCACTGCATATAAATCTGGCTGCTTTGTTCTGAAGATTCGAGCCTCGAGATTAGGTAACTTAGGTGTGGATTTCAAATGATGCTTGCATATTCTAATTTTGGAGGGATAAATGTTTTGTATGCGAGTAGTTTTGTCTTGATGGGAGCTAGATCCCTACTGAAAAATCTCATTTGTATGAGGAATTTCTGTGTCCAATACACATACGAATCATACAAGATATATGCGAGCCCTATAAGAAACATATAATAACTATATAAGAACATATAAGAAACTTGTAAGAAGTTTCTTATCTACTTTATATAGTTCTCATATAGTTTTTATATGGTTATTATATATCTTGTATGATTCATGTGTTTATTGAACACAAGAATTTTCTCATACAAATGGCTTTTTCCCAAACCAAGTGTTTTTAGTGCGCTATTTTTTATTTGCTCAATCCATGATAAATGAGTCTGTAAAATACACACCCAAATACTTGCACGACAATGATTGTTCTAGTGGTTGGGAAAGTAACGACTACTGGGTTAGCGTTTTAGTGGAGGACTTAATTACGGACATTTCTTTGCATTTACATATGTTAATGTTCATCTGCCATAGGGAACACCATGATGATATTGTATCTAAATCGTCTTGGACAATATTCTGATCACTATAGGTGTATCAATTTTCCGGTAAATAACTCAAGCATCGGCGAAAATTCTAATTGTCGATTTAATTGATGATGGTAGGTCATTGATATATATATTAGACACAATAAAGGCCCGAATACACTACCCTCAGGGACACCTGATGCAACAGCAACGGGACGCGAAATGCCAGAAAAGTATAAAAGTAATAACATTCTAAAATTGTGATGTGCTGGTTAGAAAAATGTATTGCACATAGTTTGAAAAATGTATTGCACATACTTTGACAAACTTTTCTTAGACCTGTGATGAACCTCCGTAGGTTCAGCAATTCAATGCACTCTGCCTGTTCAAATATAGTACTTGTTCTGCAGCGAGCAACCTATCTGGTTACTACATCGAAAAAACACCTGTTACCTATTTCTTGGCACTGTCATAATGTAAAAACTTTATATTTGCAAAAAAAAGTACCGTAATGCACGAGCGTTGCCCCATACGCTGAGGTACTTCGACAGTACCGAGTCTGTGAAACGACACAGTTAGGGAGGCTAAAAACAAGTTTTGTACACAAGCAGAAGTGGGCATGGGAGCTTCATATTCAAAGTTACTTGCATTTACAATACAGGAGAGAGTCACAAATAAGAAATTGGTCACCTTTGAACACTGAAACAAGCCTCCTGGTATCCATAAGTTCTGAAAATTTCCGTCTTGAAAAACTTTTATACATGCATCTTAGATGCTGTAGATTTCGTGACACCGAGACACACAATATCTGTGCAGCATGTTGGCATTTACGCTGTAGCACCACAAGATACCCAAGAGACGGCTACAAGGACACCGTCTACCTGCACATAAACACACACACACACACACACAGATTCACCGACTTCAGAGAGCAGTTGCCTTTGCATGAGGATGAAGCGCAAGCATGTTGCTGGCCGGACAGGAACTAATTTGTTTAGCCTTGACCCCGTAGCTTTTTCTTTTCTTTTAGATGCTGCCTGACACTTATAATATTTTTGTCATCTTGCGATAAAGGTTTCTCAGTTGAATGTTTTCACTGCAGTCCAACACATGCTTCAGCTCGAACTCACGATGGGTTCATTATCACAGGCGTCAGACATACTCTTCCTTGGTCCGAGTTCGCTTCTTGACATCCGTGACGGTTGGCAGCGAGTATCTTTGATTGCAGAGTTTCAGCTTTGCAATATTGGCATATTGCAGGTAGGGCGTCAAGTATCCGCTCGGTTGGGGAGATCTTTTTAGTTTCCATCCTTGCTAGCTGTAGTGATCGTTCACAGCGTGCTCCTCAAGAGTATTTTGTTTTCATCTTCGTAAATGTGCCTTGTAGACACATGATATTAGAAGGTAGCCAGTTGCCTATACATTCCGAAGCACTCTTCTAAGTTGTCAGTTTTCAGCTTGTCCCATGGAGGCCGTGTTCATCAAAGCAGTATCCAGGATGTGTATTTGACCGCTTCTGCAGGAAATAGAACGAAAAAGGATGAAATCATATTAATCCAAAAAAAGGTAATGTAATCAAAAATGGTTATAAAAATACAAAACATGAAAAAAATAATGCTTTTGTTTAAAGTGCAGCAGAAGGGTTCTGTATTTGAGAGAAAACACCGGCAGTGTTTCGATCTGCTACTTTGAATCACAAACATCAAAATTATTCTTGAATTTGATGTGCCGAATGCACTATAATAATAATAATAATAATGCTTATTGTACGATCACAAAACCAGGTACAGAAAATAATAATAATAATAAATAATAATAATAATATGCTCCATAGAGCTTCCTGGTGTGTGGTGGGATTCCTTGGGGAGCCTGAAGGAGCTCCAGCTAAATTGATAGTATATGGCTCTGGTGTATGGATGAGTAGACTGGTCAACGAACCATACTCCGGCTTGCGTGCACTCCAAACTACAGCTCAGAGACCCGCTAAAATGTAGATCTCACTAGTTTTTGTAGCGGATCCTTTCTGCGCTCCGACGAGGATACGCAGAAACGACACAATGTACTTCTGTTGTGCTGGTTGCAACCGCGATAACCTATCACTTGCATACCTTGCGAAACAATTTTCCAATCTAACTCATAAATCAAATCATTTTCATTTAGTTCTGCAGCTGCAAGTAGCGCCAGCATTTGAATATGTTGCTTCCAGGCCCCAACCAAATCACTCCCAAGCATGCATTCAGCGAAAAGTAAAAACAAGAAACGAAACCAGGATCATAAAAATTGAAAAGTTCTCACCCTGCCATGCCGTCAAGGAGCGAGATCTTCCCGTCGCTTCGCTGTATAGTCCACGCTTTCGTAGTCATCCTTGCAGAAACACAAATACGGACACTTTCACATCCAGTTTTCCACCAAAGCGCGGATAAGAAACATAATGACAGCACCGACAATCGAAAAGCAGCGCTCACATTCACACACGAGGCCGCGGTTGTGTTGTAGTCCAAAATGTGCTCGATCTCACTCGAGAGTTGAACTTTCGACTCTCGGCGTCCAAAAACCTACTCGCTTCTAGAGTTGTTCTAGTCAGTTCCTCCAGCCTTATTGTCACGTGACCCAACCCGCAGGAGGTAAAAAAGCCGTCGAAGAAAGGAACGCGACGGACGACGACGACCGTTGAAGAAGAAAAAAAAAAAAAAAAAAAAAAAAACGCGACGCCGTGGCGTTTTTTTTTTTTTTGTTTGCGCCTCGTCAGGCGTGCAAGCGTAGAGGGAAAGAGAAAGTAAAAGAGAACGTGCACTGCAAAGAAGCCAACTGTCAAGGTAAGCCTTGCGGAGAAGCGCACTACCAGTTCAGCCTACTCTTGCCGACGCTCCTTGAAGGGAGAGAGGGAAGCGCTGCGGCTTTAGATCTATTAGCCCCGAGAGCGAACACAAGCGTCGCTGCGGTCGCCGCGCCCTGATTGGGTGAGGCGTACCGTGACGTCAGGGCGATGAATCCGCTCCGCGATCTCGCATCGGCCCGCTTCCCAGCACCGGTTTCCTGGTTTGGCGTTGTGTGCCGCAAAGTCTTCGAGGAGCTGGACTTCGTTTACCCGGTGTACAAGACGTTGAGTTAGGCCGATATTGACGTGCTTCCGTACATTTTATAAGCCTGCTTGTCTCTTTTACCTTTAAAATTGGGTTACAAATCCCGAAAGCCATCGGCGGAGACAATTCCGCCGATGAACCTCCACGCCCGTCCACACGACACAAGACAATTTTGCGAAGGATCGGTGGAGCGGTGGCGCAAGTGTTTCAGACGCTGGAATTCTGTCCCTTCCAGGTTCATGATTTAGGACGATATTACATCCCGCTTTCAAGGCATTTGAAGTGGCATTTATATCATGGGCCTTTGGGTGGTCGGCAAATTAGCTCGGGACTCCGACTTTGCGCTGCCGCTCTGCATACGCTGGTTCGCAGATGTTTTAAAGGCCCTGTGTCTGATTATCTTTGAAGTGCTCATGGAACAGGGTTGTTTTACATAAATGTAGCTCCTTCGTAAATTAATTATATAGTTTATACACGTATGCAGCCATATTGTTTAGAAGATGCACAATTACTCGAAATTAGTTTGTATGGTAGCAGCAAAAACGGCCGAATTGCCCGCAGTTGCCTGCATGATATGTATTGAACTGCCCAAAATATGCGCAGCAATAGTACCGTAATTTGGAATGTTTATACTTTTTCCTGACATTTTTATTCCAGCCTTGGGTATTCGGAAAATACACCGTTTAGTCTGAATTGTCATTTCCAATTAAAAGAGACACTGCTGCAGGTCTCCAAAAGCTTCTTCAGCTTCCAAACTCCCTACAGCTGGACTCTCTGACAACAGAGGAAAACAGGAGTAAAAGCAAGCATTCGAACGTCTGTCCAGTGGTAGATGCAGCATTAATAGCAAAAAATGTGGAACCCGTGAAGGGCGACAGTCTGCGTGAGAAAACGTTTTGGTATTTTAGCTTCAGGACAATTCGATTCAAGTAAAATCTCAATTTTAGGGCTTAAAAGACTAATAACGAGCTAGACACCTTCGCTTACGTTTGTTATACATTACTTGAGGGTTGATATAAACAAATCCGCAAATATCACCCGTGTAGTCCATTGAAATACTATCCGAATCCAGCAAAGGTCAAATGCGAGCAATGTATATAAATGTTCCATGTTTTTTTTTTTACTTTGCTCCTGCACTTGGGCTGTCTTACTTGCGATTCTCTCCCCATGGCCCAGACTGTATTTAGCATGTTGCCCGAGCAGCATGCAGCTTTTCTGCTTCGGCGATCTTGTTTAAAAACGGAGATACAAAACAAACAAAATAGTATACATAACCTGCGAATTCATTCAGACCATCAGCAGCATTTATTGTGCGAGATTTAAATCTATAGTGATGCTCCTGCAATTGTGGCCATATTTCTTTATTTTCATATACCAGCTGCGATTCATGCGTTGCCTGCCCTGTCAACCATGCTTAAAATGTTGGTTGAAGTTTCGCCTGTAGCTACAGGTCATACCTCAATAAAGGCACATAAAAAAATTACACTTCCTACGAGAAACACGCCAAAAAGAAATTAAATAGAAACGAGCGCGCCGACAGCTGGCGTCGTCACAGCCTCCACAGGGCGAGCGGGGGGAGCCGGGGAAAAATTCTCTCCTCGCCGTGACGTCACCCCGGTTTGCCGTAAGGGGGCGCCACGCGAACTTCTCGGGGCTAATAGTCGGTTACAAGTCAAGAAGGTAGCGGCAAAAGCCCCTCAAAGGGAATCTTGTATTCCTCCGCCACCAATCGCATCCCGTTGTTTCCGTGACGTCACGACCTGCCCGAACCAATCTTGTTCTGGCAAATGAATATTTTCAACATGGCTGCCGGGCAGATTTTCTACGACTCGAGTATCTTGCAGCAATTATTCCGTTCTTAATGAGGTTTTTCACTTACCCGAACATACATCGCTAAGTCGTAACCGCGTCCCCTTTTATTGGCAATAGGTTCTGCGCGACAGCGTGAGAATCCAGCGATAGCATTGCCATCGAAAATTTCGATGCGGGAGTAAGGCCTAGCATCGTACATACGTCGAACGCCGTCTGCTTCTCTGCCTCAGGTTGGGCCTCAACATCGTGAAGGCATCGGCTTTTCTTCGCAGTGGTTTCCGTGGAGCGACGTTAAAATGCAGCGGTCACCAAACTCTTCTTTATAAGTGTAGTGGGCTGTGCGGGAGGGGCATAAGTGAACCGCGAACACAGTAAGTGTCTTTACCCAATTTCGACCGTACCTTTGCTGGCGTTAATAAATAGTCTGTCTACTGAAATGACAATTTCGAAGCAGTATGCATTCATCTGTGAAACGTGGCGTCCTTTTCAAGTTTCCGCGTCGCAATCGGCTGCACGGTAATCTATGACTGCGATAGTACCCGCGGGTACACCCTCGTTCGCAAGAATGAGCTGTTAGATACAGGTGGCACACAAATGATAAAGCCAGTGATGCGTATGTTACAAACATTTAATTGATATTGTTTTGGACGTTAAGAGGCTGATGTCTTCTTTTGGAAGAAATACCAGAGAATTTGAGGGAAGCGGATTCGGTTCTCTCAAATGCTTCCGAACATTCTGCTTGCTCTCGAGGCGCTGTCAGTCGTATGTTTATGCTTCGAAACCCGGGTACGTGACGCGTGTACCTCCACTCGCGTTGCGTCGCGGCCTGAGGTATTACCGGTAAACACGCACCAATTTTTCCAATTTACTTGAGAAGGAAAATATGTCCACAATACTGGATCGCAGCAGTGGTTTAATAATTTGTAAAAGATGAAAAGTATGGTCAATAAAAATTGATTGTAAGGGCAGCTTCCCGCTTCATGAATTGTGGCTTTCTTATATGCGAAATATTTGTTTAAATCAAGAATTGAAAACATACCGAATACTCTTGATCTTGGTCCGAATGCAAGTGGCAGAATGATTTGTCTTTATAACAATAAAATCAACAATGTTTGAATCAAGCAGCAGCTCAAACCGCCTAATTACATTTCTGATGTATGTTTATCTCTGGATCATACCAGGCCGTAGCCGCGAACGAGCTCTTCAGAATCTGCCGTCGTCTTTCTGGTCTACCTTGACAAAGACAGACTTGTGTAAAAACATTGAGCTTCTTGGAGGCAACCTTGCAGTCCTCATTGTCAGAGCCTCCATGGAACCATTGGAAAGAAGGGTCCCTGTTGTTTCATCGACAGGTTTCATCAACTTTTTACGACTCGTTTCATCGATACTGCCACACTGTGCTGTGAAGTTTCATCGACACACAAATTGCACGCTGTAGGAACATTTTGTTGTGCGTTTATCACTGAGGCACATATTAAACTATCCGACCGACCCAGTTCACGACGCTTTGCGGCGACAGTCTCCAGCAGTTCATTACAAAAATGTGGACCCACCCAGCCCACCCGTACATGCCGCTTCGCAGCAGCGTGTAAGGGTGGTCCTACCCCCTGCATGTACCCGTACCCTTGCTCACCAACTAAGCAGCGCACTCCTAACTAAACCAAGATCTTGTCGACGAAACATAGCAAGATATGTCGATGAGCGAGTGTCGATGAAACAATCTGTTGATAAAACGTCTCAGCGTTGAAACAAACTGTCGGGGAAATGTCATTTGATGAAATGAGTGGCAGCGAAAAAAAAGCCTGTTCCCGAGCCGCGTTACTTAAACACTATCGCAGGCATCATTTTTAGATACCCATTGCCAGCACAAATGCACTCTAAACAAAAAAGAAAATGAATTTCACGCCCCTCTGCTGTTAAAGTTCACGACCTGGAATTGGATAAGGGGCCATAAGGCAAATTTGATATGGTTCTGGACTGGACAAGACAACCTTTCGGTACTTCACAACTCTGCCCTTGGCAACAAGTCTGGCTGCAATCTGTGCATTATGGTTCTTATCAGCTTTGAAAACGTTTGACTTAATCCTGTACATTGCACTAGTCCGGGAGGCTCAAAACTGAGGTATCTATGGAAGACCGCTTCACTTCATCACAGCGTTTCTGCAAGACGGACAATATCAAGTTTGAGCTAGGCCCAGTTACTGGCATTGGCATTCCCCAGATCTCCGTCCTCTCACCAATCGTTCATCAATGTTGTAGCCGACGTTTTCTCACGTCAAGCAATGAGTGCTGTTTTTACGATATATTTCAAGCGAGTACAATGGCGCCTCTTAAATTCAGGAAATCTATGCCGCACTACTTCAGACCGCACTTCGGCGCACAGGGCAGCCTGCTCCTCATCCACCACGAGGTGTTGGCCAACTCGCCAAAGTGCGACCCAAGAGTCATAATGGCCGTCGACTTCAAGGG